AATCCATTACAACCTTTGTTCAATGGTGACAAGGTTGTAGTGACAATATGGTACAGGGCACCAGAATTATTACTAGGTGCAAAACACTATATGGTGGCAATAGGTAGCATTGAATTTATTGAATGAATTTATTACGTGCTGTTTAGCTATAGTTAACCTATTCGTTTAATGGCAGATATTTGGGCAGTTGGATGTATATTTGCTGAATTATTGACTCTGAGACCCATTTTCAAAGGAGAAGAAGCAAAGATGGATAATAAAAAGCAAGTTCCATTTCAGAAGAGCCAGTTAACAAAAATTTTTGAAGTATTAGGAAAACCGACAAGTACATAATTTGTGTTTTTCATTCATCAAAATTTTAATTCATCATATTAAAATATTAATATAATTTCCATATTTTAGAAGAACAGTGGTCCACCATTGATTTTCAGCCCGATTATTCGAATTTAAACTCTTTTAATGCGAAACAGTGAGTTTAAGATCTTTGAATAATTTTAATTGCATGTTCTGAAACGCTTTTTATTGATAAAAAAACAAAAAATGTTTTAGATATCCCAATAGGCTTCGGGAATTTTACCAAAATTATTGCTCATCAAAGTCCGATTTGGGTTATGGACTTTTGTCACAAATGTTAGAGTATGATCCACTTAAACGTATCACCGCAAAAGATGCTTTGAAACATCCTTATTTTGAAGAAGATCCGAAGCCTTCTTTTGAGTAAATAATCTGTTTCCTATTTTATAAATAATTGGATCGATTTATTGGAAGAGACCTTTATTTATTTATTTTCAATTATTTATATAACTAGTTCTTTTGAGGGACAACCTTTCCAGTATCCTCAGCGCATTGTCAAACATGATGACAATGACATGAAGGTTCCACCAGCCGTAGCTAATGCTAGCGCGATTACGCAAGGTCAGGCAGGAGCATCACATGGAGTGGGTGCGAGGGGGAAATATGGACATTCTGGGAAGGATGAAGGAAGAAATGGCAGGAGGCGAGGCTAAATTAGAATGAATTGTTTGTTAACTGTAGATTTGTCTTGTATTCTCAGTATTTTCTATAATTTTATGTTAATTTATAATTAGTTATTGTGTATTTATTTTAATTTATTATCAACTTATTAGGACGTGCAACAAAAAAAATCAGACGCAAGTAAATGAAGACACTTTATATTTATATACTGTAGACTACCGGAATTCGCCGACTAGGTAGATTTCCGATTGATAATACTGGTTTTAATAAGAACTTAAACCTGCAAGCCTTAAGCTTCTCGATCATTGAATTAATGATTAATATTCATATCTGTCTGTCACCAATATTTGCAGTAATTCGACAGAAAGATAACAGAACCATAAGGAATATCATAAAATACTAATAGAAAGATTTTTTTATTTATTTATAACATGATGTCTTCAAAATTAGCTAATCAACGATATTAAAATATCGTGGTTACTAATGTTTATATATTTATAAAATAACAGTACATTATAATTATTGTAATCAACCCAAATATTTTGAAGTTTGATCTTGCCGTTAAAGAGTAAAATTCGTTATAGAAACATATAACAAAGCCACAACCTATTTAAAAAGAAAAAAGCTTAGTCAATTTGTCGGTTTTCTTTGATAAATGATAATTTTATCTGCAAATAAAAAAAATTCAGAATAAAACTAAATTATACTATAGATTATTAAATCTAAATTTTTGTGATATTAAACTTACAATTTATATCTCTTAATTACTTTTTTTATCACATGTTTCAAATATGATAAATAAATGTATATACCGAATGGGTGAAAAGTTACTGGACAGGGACCTTTTTTTAATCGTTATAAGTATCAACTTAATGATTAACAATTATTATTATAATAAATTAATTATTATTTTCACCTTTCACTAAAAATTATAATTTAATAGTAATTATATTGATAAAGATGTTCCTGCCCAGCAACTTTTCATCCACCCGGTATAAATATACTTAATTCAGCTTAACTATCAACAGCACAATGTCTTTGAAATGTAATTTATAGGATTAAAATCATTTATCTATTGATAGAATTAAAATTTATCTGATTTTTAAAGTTATAATCTACAGATTAACATTATATTGTTAAGTATTATAAATTCAAATTGAGTTATCTCTTTTTATAGAATTATAAAAAGAAAATATATATACAGTATATAGTACAAATATATATAAAAAGATAGAACAAAGTTATTATCAATTCTATTTATTATTAAAAAAAATTTTTATAGTTTAAGTAAAATTTAAAGTTTTTATAATTAAAATAAATTTATTTTTTATTATTTGTATTAGTTAAACTATTTAAACTTTATTAAAGCAAATAGTAATCATAAATATTTATAAATATTTTCATGAAAAAATTTTTTTCAAATTATATTTCAAAACTTACTTTTCAATTATTTTTAAAATAAATATTATTATTTTTTTTTTGAGTGCAAAGATGTAACATATAATTTTATTAGAATATAAATATTCAATTATATGATTGAAAAGTTCATTTAAATTAACCTACACAAGTAGTCCTATATATTAAATAAAATCTTTAATGGATAGAAATAGTATTACTAATTTATAAACTATTGAATCAAATTTAAACTTTTGAAATTGTCATTAAGAGTATATACTTTTTGAATTGATTAGAACATTTGGATAACCTATTCAATACTTTTTATTTGAGACCTCAAAAAAGGTACTGTATTTATTATTATTATTTATAACTTCAAATTTTTCTTTTTATTGGATTCTCTTTTTTTAAGCAAGTATTAGATTGAAATAGTCTCAAACTAAAATATTCTTTGTATTATGGAGTCTGTTATACCAAGGGATTTATGGGTTTTATAAAAGTTAAACTAGAAGTTTTTTCTTGTACAACTTTTTCTATTTCAACTTGTTTTTAGCCTGCAATTATCAAAAGAACTAGTGGTTTTATCTTTATATAACCTAATTGAATCTGGTCAGAATTCAGATATTTAAATACTTTATATATAAAAAAACTGGTAAATCTATATACAAATAGATTTTTTGTGTTTGTTTTTTGTAGATATTGAATTAAAGATATGTATTTGAAGATCTAAAAGCACTACTTATTGTACTATTAATATATAGATAAATAAATATTATTGTTTTTTTTTTTTTTTTTTTTTTGTAGGTAAACATCATTTCTTTATTTGATTTGTATATAGCAAGGTATACATCGTGA